TAGATTCCAAGTGTACAACACAGAGCGAGGTACGTCTTTCCTTTCTTCACATGAAACCATGGCAGAACATATACTCCTTTTCATAAAAGTAACTTTTGTTTGGCCGAATTCTTACAGGAGGATTTGTTTTAAACTGTTCCATTGTGCAAAATGGTTTTGGTTGAAAGCATAAATCGACATAAAAGACAAAACTGAGCTCTAATTTCCAAGCCAATTAAAAAATGTGAAGAACGTGCTGGGAATCATGGGTTATCCAGGCCTCAGGGGTCCTGAACTTGCATGCAGGCTGCTTTGTGTTGGGGAGTTGCTCTTGTTTAGGGACAGGAAGGGACGTGTCACATACTGTACAGATGAGGAGACTGGAGCTTGGGGGGTGGTGGGGGAGGGTGGCTGAAGCTCACATGGCCGGCAATGCTGGAGCCCCAGACCAGGCCTTCTGACTCAACCCTGCTGCTTTGTGACCTCTGCGGCCACCTGCGTGTCCTTTGAATATGATTTCTGATTTAGCTGGAGAATACCTGACTTTTTTCCTAAGGAACACTCTGTTCATTTAAATCACTGCTTGAATGTAATGCTTGCAATTGTATTTCATGATAGAAAAATAGTTTATTTTCATGGCCAGTTGGGATCCCCAAGGATTCTCCTGATCATGGGGCAGGAGGAAGCCAGCTGCCCCAGGTCTCTGCTGACTGTAGCCATGGGGATCCAGTCTTCCCCTGCCCCTGCCCCTGGTTACTGGGAGATGGAGTGGTGCACATGGAGTAGTTCTATCTCTGTGTGCTTACTGTCAGGGAGGAGCTTGTGGCATTTCAGACCACTATGAGCTGAACAAGCTATTCTGCCTGAAGAGCCTGTAGGTGGGCTTAAAGTTGTTTACCTGAGAGGCGAGGGGCAGTGAGAGCCTTTTGTTCCTGCACAGGCACATGCTGACAGGTCAGCCCTGGAAGATCCTCTCCTTGGGCAGCACCTGGGTAAGCCTTATCCCAGGGAACTAGGGAAAAGCTGCAGTGTGGCTAGGAAGGAGGGTGGGGCACATCAGTTCATGCCCTTGAATAATAACAATAACAGCCCTTGAGAGTTCCAGGAACTTCCCCAGTGTTACTCAGCCTAAGTGGCAGATCTAGAGCTAGCTATTTCATTCATTTCCGTGCTGCTCCAGGCTGATGAGTGTGAAGTCGGCTTGGTAGGATATGGTACCATTGCTGCATTCCTAATGTGAGTCAACCTAAGGGTAATTTAAGCAAAGTCTACAAGCAGAAGACAGGTTGATGAGACTGAATTTTCACACAAGACTAACGTTAAGTGTTGTGTCTCTTTGAGTAGGGTGTTAAGTGTGGAGCATTGCCCTATGACAGAGCAGCTCAGAAGAAAAGCAAGTTCACTCAGGGGTCTAGAGAGCACCACTTGTGAGGCGAGACTCGGCAAGTGGTTTTTTGACCCAAAGAACAGGCTCATCAAGAAAGCAGAAGAGCTTCAGGTGTATAGTACAGTCAGTTATAAAAATACTGATGGTGATGTAATGTACACCATAGAGAATATACTGAATAATACTGTAATAACTATGTATGGTTTCAGATGGGTACTAGACTTACCAGGGTGATCATTTTATAAGTTATAGAAATGTCTAATTACTATGTTGTCCATCTGAAACTAATATTATGTTGTATGGCAACTGTAATAAAAAAAAAAGGTAACAAAGACAAAAAAAAAGAAAGAAAGCGGAACAGGTTCATATAAACACATTTTCACCTGGTGGACCAACCACTCATCTCCCCACAGCGTGATCTTCCTTCCTCCCCTCTTTCTGTGACTCTCTAAAGCAGAACACAATCACGAGGCCTGGAATCCCCAGCCATTTGGAGCCCCCCACTTCCTTAGAACTGCACCTCCCTGGCCCTTCCTCTCTGCAGCCCCGATACCCCTAGTAATACAACACCAAACTCTATGTATTTGGGGGCCTGAGTTTCCTAGCATCAATCCTTTTCTATAACCATTGCAACTACCGTCATTTAGGCCCTTGTGATTTCTCCCTAATCAATGCTGTTAGATTAATCTTTCTAAAACAAAACTCTATCCACTCCTGGTCTATGACAATCATCTGATTCCCCATTATCTACTGAATCAAACCTAGACACCTTCAACTGGCACTCAAAATTTTTACAGATTTCTCTAAACACAGTTTTTTAGTCCCTTCTCTTAGTAGCCAACACTAAATGTGCTAAGTTGCTATGTCACTTTATCCCAAGTACAGAGAATACTTTCCCACATTCTCACCTTGACTTGGGAACCTTGCTTTGCCTGGAAAAACTTAATAAGTATGTCTTGTGTTTGTTTGGTACTTCCTAGTTTTCAAAGGGGTTTCACTTACCTTACTTCATTTCAAAATTGTAGTTACTAAGTGGGGCAGATATGATATGATTATGCTCATTTTATAGCTTAGAAAATAATATTAGCCCTGAGTCAGCCCAGAACCTAAGATTCCCCAGCTGAGGGGCAGAGGCAGACCGAGGAGCCACGTCTGCAAATTCACTCTGTTTCACAGATCTGTGTTGTTTTCTCTCTCCTTCTTCATTTGGCCTTTCCTCTGCCTTCCTCCAATTTCTACTTGTCAAATTCTACCTTTTTCTCAAAGTCCAGCTCAGATCCACTAACTACATGAACACTTGCATAGTCACCCATAAAATTTGATGGTTCTCTCTTGTCTGAGCTCTCACATCTCTGTGTCCAATTTGCCTGCTTTTAAAGCAGCTGGGTGGAAAGGCCTGATAGCTCCTGTATAAGGGTTTGAGGCCAATACAGACCTAAGTTTTAAACCTTTTGGGTCACGGCCCCATTAAGAAACACGTTTTATATCACAAACTAGTGTATGCCGCCCACACATCCCCTGAAACAAGTTTCATGAAATAGAATTTACTTCTAATTCTACAATGCACTATCATATTTTCTCTAGTCTACTTTCATTTATTACAAAGTGCTGGTTAGGAAGCCACTAAATTGATTTTGAGAACCACTAATGAGTCCTGATCAGCAGTTTGGAAAACTCTGGTGTAAATCTAATCTGTCTTTTCCAAATGGCCTAGACAATATTTTTAAAGATTTGCATAAGACTGCGGAAGCCAGAGAGCAGTGTTCATCAGGGATTTCATCTGTGGTTCCTAACAGGAATACACACAGCTCCCACAATGAGGCCAGGAAGGAAGGGCTTCTGCTCACCAGCACAAGCTTCTACTTGTGAAAGGTCAAGGATAGGGATTATTTTTTCCCAGCTTTACTGAGGAACAATTGACAAATAAGAATTGTATATGTTTAAGGTGTATAATGTGAAGCTTTGACATATGTACACATTGGGAAATGGTTACCACAATCAAGATAGCTAACAAATGTATTATTACACATAGTTAAGACATATTTTGTGTGATAAGAACACGTAAAGTCTACTCTCTTAGCCCTTTTCAAGTATACAATACAGCATTAGTAACCAGTCATGGTGCTCTGCCTGAGATCCCCAGAGGTTACTCATTGTGCGTAACTGAAACTCTACGCTTTGGCCAGCACGTCCCCATCGCTCCCAACCCCAGCCCCTTGTAACCACTCTTCCTATCTCTGCTTTTATGAGTTTGGCTCTTTTAGATTCCACATGTAGGTGATATCATGAAGAGTAGGGATTTTTAATGGGAATGAAGTACATCCATTTCACAGGGGGTCATCTGTTAAAGGGTGGGATTTGTGGGTGTCGGAGATCTGGGGAGGAACACTTCTCAGCAAGACATATCTGTGGACTAAGAGAAGACTTATGTGCTTGTCGTAATCTTAAATACAGCAAAAAGTCAGCTAGGATTTGAAAATAGTAGAAATGTAATAAATCTTTTCTTTGTATCTGAAGGCCTTCAGGCCTGTGAACCTGTCACTGAATTTAGTGTCATTTCGACTTTATGAAGCACTTGATGCTTGCAAAGTGCTTACACACTTACCAATTACCATATTGTTCATCTTCTGAACATTTTAGTTCAGGGAAGGCCTGAGGACGTCAGACTAAAACAACAACAACAAAAAAAAAAAGGAAAAAGAACTGGTCCAGGTAAAGACTAGGCTCCTGAGCTTGGGCTGCTGGAGCAGTTTACGATGTGGGGTACTTGCTTCTGAGTGGAGTCCCCTCTGCCTCAGCACCCGGGGTCTGCAGTGCAGGCAGCTGGCCTTGGGCAGCCACCTCTCCTGACAGACGCTGACACACTGCTCTTGGGGGCTCCAGGCATGATCTGTGTCTACATGAAGCAGGGGAGGGAAAGGTGAAGGGCTCGGCACCTGCAACCCAAATGCTAGGTCGTAGTGAGGGGTGTGGGAAGAGATGCTTGAGGCTGCTGGGACAGGGTCATAAGGAAAGGGACGAAGCAGTTCCTGGATTTCCTGGTGCAGCTATTAAAGACATGATAAATGATTAAGGGGTAGGCTTGTTTAGAAGCCTGTATATATATAAGCCGGAAATCAACTCTGGTCATGTTTACAGGCAACAGGTCAGTGAAATCCAACACACTGATGGGTTTCAAGGAATTCCAAGGAAATGGCTTCAAGGGATGTTAAAAGCAAAGGTTTGAGGATGTGTCTGTTTCCTTTGGAAAAAGGTTAGCTCTGCTGTGTTTCTTCCTCTGCATTTAGAAGCCCACACCAGCTACCACTGGCCAGCGGCTGTCCCAGAAGACTGAACGCGGCCTGAGGGCTGGTGGCATTTAGTTTCTCAGTTTAGGAACAAAGAGCAACCTTTTCTTTGGAAGTGAATTTTCACTCAACATTTTCTAATAGATTAGTTAGAACCTCTGTCAGAAATTCTCCCATTTCTGACCAGGAGTAGGTAATTGAAATACCAGAATGGGGCTGAGAGACTGATTGGGCTTTTTAACTAGAAAACTTTCTGTTAGACCCTAACAATTCCACCACTGGATCATTTTCTTTAGTGGAAATTAAAGAATCAGTGTCTTAATGAAATGATACCTTTATTTTGAAACACATATTGAGTGATCCAAATTATCTTTCAAAGGAGAATGAGGTCATTCCTGTCCTCATTTTTATCCACACAGAAAACTAGTTGATGCTTTGGGGAGCAACTGTCCCCAGTCATTTTAGGTTTATGTTCTCCCCATCACACCACCTCCCACATGACCAGGAGTGCTCTTGGTTATAACAAATTGGTCTGTGTGACTCTGCTCAAAGCACTGCATTGGTCTCCTACTCTCAACAGGAAAAAAACCCCATTTTCTTGACCATGATGCCTGTGGTCCTGCCCAATCTGTCCACCGGATAACTCTCCAGCTTTACTGTCCCCTGATCCAGTCACATTGAAACTCTCACTGTTTCCAAACACCTCAGACCCTGTTTGAGCCTCGGCCTGCACTGTCTCCACTGCCAGAGAGGCCTTCACCCCTCAGCCCAGCTCCTGACAGCTTCTTACTTTTTTTACCTGCTTCCAAATTTTCTTCTGTGTGGCTTCCTCCATTCCCCAAAGCTGGTTAGTTCACTATATTCCTCTCGGGCTTTCATAATGATTTTTGCTCAAAACTTTAACATAGCTCTTAGTACACTGGCAGCTGCTGTCTCTACTTCATTAGAATGCTGGCATCTTGAGGGCAACCCTCATTTCTTTTTTATCTCTGTGGCTTCAGAAGAAGCTATATTTGGAGGTGTGTGGGTGGGTAGAAAAGTATTAAAACTAGGCTCAGTTAAAATAATTGAAGGAAATTTAAACAAAATAATTATTCTTTCAGGGGAAGAAATACTAGGATTAAATCCAATTCTGGAAGCATTAAATGTGATAACCTGATAAATGACTGTCATACAGATGAACCAGATTTGTAACAAAAAGGAAACTTTAAAGACTTTAGCCTCTGATACATTGCTCTACCTTTAGCCATCTGAGTCACCAAACAAAAATATAAAACTAATACCAATAAGAGAGAATTCTGACTACACTAGGTGTAGGGAATAAGAGTTTTGTCCTTGCTTCAAAGGCTGACTCCACTGTCCTCCGGAGACTGCCTTCTTTCTCTTCATTCTTCCAATTCTGTACCTTGCAGGCAGGTTTATTCAGGCGTCTTTCAGCTGTTCATGCCACACTTGTCATGGGACCTTTCTCTATGTTACTCCCTCTGCTGGGACTGTTCCCCCTCCCTTTCCATTGTTTAATTTCATGTTAGGAAACTCCAGTTCCTCCATGGATTCTTTCCCACATGACTAGGAGAGTCAGTACTTGTTCCTCCAACTGTCTCCTCCTCCTTTAGCCACCTGCACACTTCTCTGTTTTCACACTCTTATTTATGGGCTGGTTCGACATATGTTGAGGATATGTCATCACCATCTAGCTTGTGAAGTGAATTTTAATTAGGGCAAGGCCATGTCTGCCTCCATGTTTTGTGTGGTGTCTACCACAGTTTCATATGTGGATGAGGACTGGATACTGATGTCCATGGGATAGACGCCACCTCCGTCTCCCTGTCAGGTGATAATATGTGAGGCCTGCAGCCATGACTCAGGCTATAAGGTGTCTCTGGTAGCTCAGGACTTTGTTGGCAACCTGTAAATGACTTAACTCCTATAGTTGAGAAGGAGTGACCAAGTAGCAATTAAAGAAAAAAAATATTTAAATACTATTTCCATGGAGAAATATTAAAAACTGAACTTAAAACTGGCAATGTTGAGGTGATACATATATTAATATTTTTGTCAGACTTAACAATTATTTTTTCTCCTTTTTTTCTAATAAAATGATTCAATACTGACCTAGAAATCTTCAAAAATAACATCACACTGCTAATGACAAAACACACAACTTCATCTGAAAGGTACAATTGAAAGATTTCCTTTATCACAAGAAGGTACAAGAGGAATAATTATCATCAAAGGCTTGTACTGCTTCTATTATGGAGCAGAACAATGACTGCACTTCTCCATCAAGTCAAAATTGCTATCTGTGGTGTAATTTCCAGAAAAATAACTGTGGGACAATTGGCTATAACTTAGACTAATCAAAAATGAAACTACTATATGTATAGAATAGGAGACGCAAAAGAAGTACCTAACACCCAGCTACATCCATTTACTTAAGATCAAATAAGAAGAATTATGTCTGCTTTATAGCCTAAGTAGAACTTTTCTTTTAATGGAGACTGAAGATTTTCTTATGGTACTAAAATACGGCTATTGCAACTAAAAAATTTTTACAAGCACACAAAATAATGGATATTTTGGTCACTCAGGGATAATAAATGACAATGAATATTAAATACATTACATGATGCTTCCCTTTAAGAGGCGTAGACATTAACAAGTAGTAATGATAATAATAAACTTAAAATTATTGAGAACTGTTCTAACTGCTTTGTGTTGCCTCATTTATTCCTCCAAAAAACCCTATGGGGTAGGGACTTCTATTATCCACATTTTTCGGCTGAGAGACTGAGGCACAGAAAGGGTAAATAACTTCCCCCAAATTACATGGCTAGTAAGAGGATAGGCTACAGTAACAAATCAATAAATCCTAACCCCTGAACCAGACTTCCTTCCATTGGATAAAAACCAAAAATGGAAAGTCTAAGTGTATCTTTATACCACAGTCATGTACCTGAAAAGACATCTTTAAATCAGAAATCTAAAAACAGAACCAGGTTGGAACGTGAGCTCTGTGAGAATTCGTCAACGGCTGTATTTCTCGTGCCCAGGACAGTACCTGGTATGTGGTAGTTCTTGACAAGCATGTGATGAATAAATGAATAAATAAGCAAATGAAGAGCATCTAATATATTGCTTTGCAATGAGAAAGTGTTCAATGGATTTTTTAAAATTAGATTTAAAGGACTTTATGAGTTTGTTCTAGGAGGAGTTACCTTCTGAAATCTTATTTTCATAAATTCAGATTTTCATACTGTTTGCTTAAAGTGCAGATGAAATGAGAGCACTAAAATTTTTATAGGGGAAAAGGCAAAACAAATCAGGGAAGCAAAAGCTCATAGAATCCTAGGAAGAGAACCCAGTTATCAACTTGGGACCCACAGCTTCCTACATTCACAGTGAGGGGTCTAACATGTTTGGGCAACAATTCACAGTGTTGTACTTACAGTCACTTGTCAGAGCTCCAGAAGAGTTCTAGTCCAGCTGTGGAATGCTGCAATGCATTTAGGCCATACGGTCTTGAGAAAGCTGCACTGTTTAACTGGTTTTATATGTTTGGGCTCTGAGAGGCAAGTGAACCAGTTACTATCAGTAGGAAGCTGTTTTAATAACTCACCAACTTTTCCAGTGGATTTAGCCAAAACAGAGGAAAGTATTTATTATTCCCATTATATGGAAGAAGACATCACAGAGGACCCAAACTATGACCTGAA